GAATCTATTAAACTCAAGAATCTGTTTTTTTTTGTTGGTTTGGGTTTTTTTTTGTGTATTTTTTCTGCTGGTGCCTAAAATTGTAATAAGTCTATAGAGCAAGGACTAAGTTTATGTTGTTTTATCACACTCGATGCAGGCTGTTAGTGCTACGCCGTTACCAGGAACCGCTACCGCACTTTGACCTGGACAACTCACGTCTAAGCCTGTGGCCCATATGAAAATTACCTCCAGAATGTATCGTCATCAAGCCTTCCCTTTAACCCCTTAAGGACACATGACATCCCTTTTATTCCAAAAGTTTGGTCCTTAAGGGGTTAAACTTCTCTCCCGGTTTATCTGCAAATCTCGGTAATTACACCGGCCACACCACACTTACGGGTAAGTGTGAAGGCATTTGTTACATTCTCCTTTATAGGGAAAAAACTGCTCTAGAATTTACACCATTGAAACCATTAAAACACTGAGAAATACCTATTACTTGTTAACCTTTTTTTTTTCAGGAGATACTCTGATGTCTTTTAGAATTCTAGTAAAGACTTCGCAAAAGAGAATTACAATCCAGGTCAGGCAGAGCCGAGGCAAACACCGCAAATGAGGAAAATAGAAACATTGTTCAATATCTCTTCTCTGTATGAAGAAGACTTGCCAGTTTACAGTAACTTCTCGTTTGTAAATGTGTCAATGTGTGCCCCTAGTATATGTCTCTGTCTGTGTATCTGTATGTATGTCAGTGACTATTTTGAAGTTTGTACAATAAAGCACAATGCTATACATTATTAAAGCTATGGAATATGCTTGTGTTTCATAAATAATAATTTAAAAAAGTTTAAAGGAATGATCACAACATATAGGAATTTGGACCGACAAATTTCTCAACCAAAAGTCAACTTTCTGTTTGAAACGTGTGGTGAGTGGAAAATATCAGCGTAATTACCAGACTGTTAGTTTACTGTGTTTACCTAGTGCCAGTCCATAATCACACACGTATACTTACATTTCACACTATGCAAGCCAGCATTAAAGAAACACTCTTCAGATGGACGGACGGACGGACAGAGAGATATAGATGGATGGATTAGATAGATAATTTAGTTACTGCTCCCCCATATCATTTTAAGTAAAACAATTTTACGCATGTGCAGAAATCGCCACAACCCGTCAATCCAATGTACACAGTCTCATAGAGAAGCAATGTACTGGCACACACAGTGTCAAAAATCAGAAAACTATGAATGCTAATGCCAGACTTCAGAATTCAATACTTGAATCTATTTCACAACGGAACCCCCAGCAGCCGGTCAGACAGCCACTAGCAGGAATGGAAATTGCGACATACAAATGTATTTTCCAAAAGCCAAAATCGACGTATAAGCTAAGCTTTTGCACGGTCTGTGCTGGTTGTAGAGAGTTAACACATCAAGCCAGGATTCAATTAAACTTAGAATCAACTTAAAAGTTGAACAACAACATGGTGGCATATTGAGAAAATGATCTGACCCTGGGAGAAGAAGTGGCCAAGTCCAAATCTAAAGAGAATTGCCTCAATAGAGCAACAGGGCAATGTATAATGCATAAGAGTGCAAGATTGTGATTTGTGTCCCTGGATTGGCAACGGAATATTTAGAGCATGTAGATACATTATATTTTGCGCTTATTCCAACCTTATTACAAAATGGCTGCCGTGAGCTTTCTATTTTAACCCCTTTACTACCGAGCACTTTTCGATTGAAAAAAATATTAGCATAACATTTATTTGAAGCAAGCCATGCATGGCTAGCATGTAAACGTCACAATGCAGCAATGTTTTGCTTAGCTTGCATTGCAGATAAACTTAAAAATTATAGTTATGAAAATGTACACATTTTTAAAAAAATGTTTTGTAAAAATCTTTTTATTGGATTCTTGTCATGAAAATAATGTAACAGTAAGTCAAGGGTAATCAGAGCAAGTCTCGCAGGACTTTATAACATATTTGTAATACTGTTGATCTGATATATCTGGGATAGAGTAGAGATATGAAACAGCACCCGTCAGTTTTGTTGGAAAAGTAGCAATTGTTCCCAGCCAGTCAATTAACTCTAAAGTCAGGGAACCACCCCTCAGGGTTCAGTACTGTGATCCAAAAATGTACTGTCCCGGTTAAGAAATGTTTCCATCTCCCAAGGTGCATGTAGGGGACTAGGGGGTTAGGTCTCAGCATGGTGGTTTCAACTCAGGATTACTAGGAAGTCTTTCAGCTCTTTGGGCCCAAATATCTACATAGGTTTGTTGGCGACCATTGGCCCCAAAAAGTAAGTCTTCATGGAGCATAGCTCCTCCATGCACTGGAACCAGAGGTCTAGTGGGGTTGGCTCGTTCTTCCAAAATAAAGGTATCAGGCTTTTGTCAACATTCAGGATCCTAATTGTTAGGTAATTCTTGTAGACTGATGGGCGAGTAGTGGTATGATGTGATCGAAATGGTGCCGATCTTAGCAGCGGCCTTTATCGGAAAATTTCTGAAACATTTTTTTCCTAGTATAGATGAATACGTGGCCATTCGCACCATATGTGGTATTGAGTGCCCACTGTTCACCAGTATCTCTAGCATAGGTTGCCTATTGCGGGATCTATAGTGTGTAAGAGTTGCTGTGTCTTGTATCTGCATTCAATAAGATTGTGTGCTGATCCTGATATCTACTTGAGATCACGCAGTGCAGAGTGAGATTGAAAAAACATCTAAATTGTTTACCTCCCCCCCCCACCTCATTTATTTGAAAAATATTAATACAAAATGTAAATGGGGGGGGAGGGGAATCTAAATTAAACTGTGCTGAAAATAAAGCTTAAACATCAGATCTATCTTTATGGGAAATTTGTAGGGAGACTCTGTATGACACATTCAGGGGAGGTTTGACTAGGGCTGCAACAAAAAGTGATTTAACTCCTAAATAGCAGAGAATTCAACAGTGAGACTGAAGGGCATGATCTATACACTATAAGCACTCCATTAAGCTAAAGTTGTTTGGATGTGTAGTGTCCCTTTAACACTTTATATTTTCTTAGAATTTCCTAAAGTAATATTTGTGTGTTTACTATTTACCAGACATTACAGAATTCCATGTCACTACCCAGGTTTACCTTACAAGGAACATTAATTTTGGATTGTTGCATATCATTCATTGTCCTTTTTCTTTCAAACTTTAAGAATTTGCAAATGTGCATAGCATTACATCTAGATTGTCTCTCAAGAATACCATCTTTCCCTTGATTCCAACCTTTAAAAAAATTAAGAACATTAATGCAAGAAAAGCCTGCTAATGGATTCTTTGAGAATTCTTAGATAGTGATAAATCTTTGGAGTGTTCACTATTTTCCAAAACATTGTACATGTGGACTGTATTGCAGGGGCTAACGGAAAGTCCAACATCATTACATTGGCAAATGTCAGATTTATAGTGGGCAGAGCTGGCCCAATCCATGCCACATTTCCTATTAAATGGACACTCTGGGCACCATAACTACTTAATCAGAGTAAAGTTGTAATGGTGTAAATACTGTGCTCCCAGCTTACCTCAAGGGGTTAAATGTACGGTTTAACTACAAAGTTTAAATCCAGTGCATGATTGCTCTGACGGCAATCCTGATTCAAGCCTTGGACTGCACTGGAAATAGCTGGGCGCTCAGGGACCTCTTTACACCTTTATTCAGATAAAGTTGCTATGGTGCCCATAGATCTCCTTTAAGTTTCAAAACACATAAACAAAATAATCTTTAATAGTTTGTACTTAACTAAAGGTGTAGTCTCTTTTTAACACCAAGCAGTCCCATCCACAACAATATGCTCATTTGAAAATAAGAAAAGGATTCCTGAAAAAGGAAAATCTTGTTTAAAAATGTTCTATTTTGAACTCCACCTGAATTTTACAGTGTAACTTATCTTTGACAGGCCAGACTGTATACTTATGGGAGGATGTGCGTGATCGGCAGTTAAAGGACCACTCTAGGCACCCAGACCCAGCTAGGATTAACCCATTCTTTTATAAACATAGCAGTTTCAGAGAAACTGCTAGGTTTATGAATGGGTTAAGCCTTCCCCCAATTCCTCTAGTGGCTGTCTCATTGACAGCCGCTAGAGGCGCTTGCGTGCTTCTCACTGTGAAAATCACAGTGAGAGCACGCAAGCGTCCATAGGAAAGCATTGATAATGCTTTCCTATGTGACCGGCTGAATGCGCGCGCAGCTCTTGCCGCGCGTGCGCATTCAGCCGCATGGGAGGAGAAGAGGAGGATCGGAGGAGGAGAGCTCCCCGCCCAGCGCTGGAAAAAGGTAAGTTTTTACCCCTTTCCCCCTTCCAGAGCCGGGCGGGAGGGGGACCCTGAGGGTGGGGGCACCCTCAAGGGCACTATAGTGCCAGGAAAACGAGTATGTTTTCCTGGCACTATAGTGGTCCTTTAAGTTCACAAAAGGCCCAGGAAGTTGTATGCTGGGAAAACCACAAAGAGGGAACATTTAGAGTAATTAAATCTAATAGGTTTGCAGAGCTGTGGGGAGGAAATAACTACAAATGTATGAATTATAAGAAATTAAGTCGAGCCCTAAAGTAAGACGGATCTAGAAAGTACAGACCACATCTGATTTAATATCAAAATTCTGAGGAAAACAATATTTTTCTTCATTTTGAACAAGTTTATCGAAAAGTCACTAAGTTGGAGAGTGCAAACATTTTACTGCATTTTAAAATGTTATGCAAAATTTCCATATGACTTTATAGATAACATTTGACCTTTACATTGAGAACTTTTCCATTTGAACTATTATGAACCGAAAATTAGAATTATTTTGTGACCTAGAATCAGATTATTTTGAATTCCTGACATTAAATAACCGTGTCAGTATTTGAAGATCATAGTTATTGAGAAATACTCTTCTTAAAGGAATATTCCCATTATTTATTAACTAAATATCATAAAGAAAAAAAAAGTACGTCATATTATGTTATGCATATACGTTAATCCTATCAACTGTAAGCTCATTTGAGCAGGGTCCTCTTCAACCTATTGTTCCTGTACCTTTTCTTGTAATTGTCCTATTTATAGTTAAATCCCCCCTCTCATAAATTTTTAAAGTGCTACAGAATCTGTTGGCCCTATATAAATGGCAATAATAATGTCTCCTAACAGTGCAACCCCTGGCCTCCATTTGCTCTATGAAGGCAGACATCTTTAAATCCTCTTTGGTGAAAGCACAGCTTATCTGATTTTAAGAAATAATAATAATGAAGAGCTAGTGTGTGCTCGTGAATCACGGCATTATGTGCAATGATGGGCATTACCTTTGGGATCTTCAAATTGCATATGGACATAGCAGTGTGTCTAAACAGAGCAGACAGAAGAGGGATGCCCCAGCATAACAGAGAGCAGCCAGGAGATTCACTGAAATAGTATTTTTTTTAATGATTTTTTTCCCTTTAAGTTTCTTAAACCATTCTTAAGTAAAGTTTCTGTGATACACCATCTGAATGCCTTGAGAAATGACTATGACTACTTGCAGGCACTACTACAAATCAGGAATTCTGGAACGTGTAGATGGCCGACTAATATACAAATTTGGAAGGAACACTCACGGATGAAGAAAAAAAAAAAAAATACAGAAAAACAAAATGTAGGTCAGCCTGTATGTTTCATGTGTAAAAACACAAATGAGCATTTGAAGAAAGACCTGAGATTATTGTGAAAAATTTACCAGTGGAAATTAGTAACATTTAAGGACCAATTCACAATCTCATCTTAGTGAAGTTGTTGGTGCCCTGAGGTCTCAGGCTCTATCTTAAGACTTAAGACATTTACGTCTTCTTCCTAGCAACTTCCTCAGATAGTGCGAGGCTTCTACCGGGAATCAGCACAGCTGACAGCAGGAGCGGACATTCTTAGATTATCACTATGTCCTCATTTGTAAACTGAGTGAAAAAGGTACACATGTAGCAAATTGCCCTTCGACTTTTGGGAGGACAGTTTGTCCTTCTATGTTTTAAGGAAGAACACATAAAATGACAAGATAAAGCTCCAAATGAATCAATTTATTCAATTTCTGCACTTGTTCTTAGAAAGGATTTAGAAATTGTGCACCACATTCATGCATTTGCTACCAATGAAATTGCAAGCAGGGTATGAAACTGCAGTGAGAATACAAAACTGGTTCTAGACCATACAAGAAGCACATTGACCGTAACTGGTTTTTATATTCTGCATATTGGTATTTTCTATGTGTTTCAATAACTGCTGATAAAGAATACCTTTGCAGTGTTGTTTAACAGATAGCACTGAAAAGGCTGCAGCTACTAGGATTTGCAGTAAATGAAGACTCTTCATCTTCAATGGGGAATAAATTATATATATTTTTTTTTATTAATAGATGACCTCATAATGCATTAGAAAAAATGGTCAGGTAGGATACTCTGCTACAAATACAGACTAGTTCATCAAACTAATAGTGATTAAACAAAATGCACTAAAACAGGGACCCTTTCCCTCTACGGCAGGGTTAGGCTACCTTTGTCACTACTGATGTTTTGGACTTCACCTCCCATAATGCATTCCACAACATCCGGAGTGCTGACGGTCATCTACCCCTGGCTCTATGGTATGATATAAAGGTAGTGGTGTAGCAGCTGTAAATCAATTACAGAGTAAAATTTAAATTTCTATGACAGTCACACATGACTCAGACAAACATCAGAAGATGATCACAGACAGTTAATAAATTAAGACAAGCTGCCTATACATTTCAGACTGAAGAATAAAAACAGTACTATTGTCCCACCCATAGGCTCCCACAGCCCACATGTACTTGCAGTAACCACTTAGGACTGTTATGTCCAACATTGACACTGTGGATATTTGTGAATTACATTTCCAAAAATTGTGTGGCTGTGCCAAGGATTGTAATTGTTGATTTAGGAGACAGGTGTTCAATGTTGTCTGGCAGTATGCAGATGGAGATATCAGGGGTTGGTCTAAATTGGATCATCTTCCTCCACCCCCGCCTCCTCCTTGGTTGCCAGCATCTGAAGCCCCAGACATCATCAAGAACAGAACAACTGGAATAATGTACATCCACTGTAAGAGAGGAAAAGGGTGAAATGTGAACAACAGTGGATGTACAATACAATGTAGGTAATAGAGAGCTGTGTGTGGAGCAAAGTACTAAAGTGGCAGCATCTGCAGAAACATTCTCCTAGGATTCCATAGTGACTGCTCTACTGTAAGAACGGTCTCAGAATTGCAATTTATACCGAACACTTTTTATGGGCCAAAAAAAACCACAAAGAAAAAAAATAAAAAATAAAAATCTTGAAAATAATGTTCTTACAAAAACAAACACTCAATACAAATGACTTGCATTATAATGCTTTATGAAAAAGGGAACAAACAAAATTACCTACCTTGAAATGAATGCCTCCGGGAAGGGTTTGCTAGAAATGTACTATAGGAATGAAGCATTTATTTTAGATGTGTCAGCATGAGGATTGGTCATCCAGCAGGAGAGAGACCTATTAAGGAGTACTTAAAGGACGCTAAAACAACTGGACTTAAAGCTGGAGGCAGCACATTGTAATAAGAGCCGATTGGTGGTCATCAGTTACTCAATTAACAGGCAACAGGCTTCCTAACCATACTGTACTGCAACTAGTGTATAGGACTTCCATACTGCAAGTCTATTCCACATTGGATTGCTTTTCCTGAGGGAGGGACAGCACCTTGTTCTTGTGAAAATCCAGATAAGAATTTTGGCAGAATACAATGGGTGTTTTGTAAGGAATCCTTTATTTTGAGAAATTGAGACAGCAAGTGGCTTAACTATTTCTGCAGTCCAAAACAAACAAAATGTGTAGACCACTTCACTAAAATATGGTGACAGGTGCTGAACTATACCTGGCATTGCCAACACTCCTCTGATACCTCACATGATAAGCCATGCTGCGTTTTACCAGTGTGTGAGTAGCTTACAGTTGTGCTCTTTATTTTTTAGCGAAGATAGAGCTTTGAGGGGCAAAAGCATATATTCTAAACCAAAAGGATAACCAAAGGAAGTGCCTAATAAAAATTAAGTGCGAGTATAGGCTGTAATACATGGATGGATGGCACATGGCGGCCGCAAACCTGAAATCATTAATATAAATCAAGAGAGGAAAGTATTTTAACCTGGACTGTCCCAGTTTGTAACATCGCCATACCAATACATTAAACTTTTTTGGACTTGGTAGAAGATTGCTGGGGCCTGGAGGTATTAATTTCAGTCAATGTGGTGTGGTCTGGAGTGCCATACAGTACGTCCTCACTCCCAGTTTCATTTCTTACTTTTGAAGAATGGCTGTTCCTTTCTTACCAGCAACCCCTGTATACATGTACAGTGTTGCAGGTTCCTCCATAGACCTCAAAGCAGTGACATCAGATCCTGGCACTGAAACAGGAGCAGGAGAGGACCGGCCGGAAGAGGATAGCGGAGCTTATGAGGGACAGGTTGAGGTAAGGAGAACTTACCTTTCCCTGTCACCTGGCCCCCCCAGTGACAATGTCAATTTATGCAAAGTCCCAAGACGGTAACAGTTCCACTTTATGATACAATTATTATGACAATATAGACCCATCAGTATCCCTAAAGGAGTTAATAGAATTCCACTCACCATTCTTTACGGTATACTCAGCCACAGGAGAGATTCTTATGAAGAAATATAGATCACCAAGAGACTATAAGAAGCATATGTTTTCAGAAAAGTCCACACTTAAAATAATACCAGGAAGTTTACCTGGTGCTACTGCCTATTCCCCAGTGTGTCAAGCTCATTAACCCCTTAAGGACACATGACATGTGTGATATGTCATGATTCCCTTTTATTCCAGAAGTTTGGTCCTTAAAGGGTTAAGCTTAGGTGTGCACTTGCTGATATATATAGATTTATTTTCAATTAAAAAGTGCATCTATTATTATTTAAAAAGATTCATAAAATATTTCTAAATGTGGAGAAAAAGGAACTTTAGGAGATTATATGTTATCAAAAATGAATGTGAAATTAAGCTAGATTAGTGGTCATTTTCTTTTAACACTTGCAGTTTTTGGTCTGAGCCTGGAACTCACCTGCATATTACTTTCTAATAATCCTGAGCGCTGCACCGGTGCCCATTCTGAATTCAGATCAGAAAACCATCACCCTACTAATTCTCTACAAAAACTACCACAGTGAGCGCAGGAAATGGAGAAGTGTGAAAAGTGTCAAACCACCAAGAATTGAAGTAGAGTAAAGGATCTATGGTAACAGAATGTGCACAAATCACTCCCAATATGTAAAACATGCTTCTACTCATACAGGAAGGCAGAGCTTGCTCTAGGAAGCCAATGTACAAAGCATATCTCTAGAAAGCATTGAGAATTCTGGACAGAAGAAATTGTAGCTAACCTGTGGGTCTCTAGAAGTTTTATTACAGTACCCATGTTTTTTTACATTAGGAGGAGCAGTAGCAGCAGAGCATTGCAAGGGGATCAATGAAGTAGAGGACCATGGGATCTGTAGTTCCAAATCGTGAAACCCAGAGGTTAAATTAAAAGGAGAACAAGGACTGTCTGAGATCTGAGGCAGTAAAATATGAAGGAAGATCTGCTTAAAACGAGATCAGCAAAAACTGAAGTAAATTGGCCAAAGTGGATCTTTGTGCAAAAACAGTTTCTATATAGAGAGAAATTTACAAATGCTAAATTTTCCTTTTTATACTTTGTTATTACAGCACCTAAAATGTGCCCTTTGTAAAAACCAAGACACATTCTGAAGGACCTCATGAAGCTGTAGGTAATGCTAAAAAATACACCTTTAAATAGTTAATTGAGACAGCGTATCAAATTTTGCTTAATTTAATTAAAAAAATAATAATCGTATTTACTCACCTAATTTTAAATCTTCCCAATTCTCAGAAATGCCCATTTGTCAAGAGATCAAGACATCACACAATTACTATACCAAACCAGCACAGAACAAGCAATAAAACTAAGTCATTAACAAATGCAGGACCAAAGAGTTTTTCCCGATGCCAAGGTACATCTCAGAAACCACTCCAAGTACACTGTCCAAACCAAACCTCTTCCCTACTCCATTAAGATTTTTTTTTTTTTTTTTAAATGCACTGTTATCAAATGCTAGAGATATAGGTTTTTATGTAATGGATTTGACAATGCGTATTGTGATAAACTCTCCTTACCCTGGACATTTGCCACAAACTCCTGAAATAGTGTGGAAGCT